CTTGGCAAAGTGGTGCTGAAGGGGGTTAAGTTGGGGCGCACAGCGTCGTTAATAACGAAAGTGTTTTGGGCCAAGTCATCAGAAATAATGAAAGAGTTTTGCTATGGGTAATCGTACGTGGGCGATGTGCCACGTGGTGAAAATTGATTGTGGTGCATCATGATGTTGTCGATTTTTTAAGCGGTCCCGGAGGTTCGCCGGTCGAACGGTTCTGCTTGATGGAGGGATGCTGCTCAGAGGGTAGTGCGGGCTGCGTTATAGGCAGAGCGGATGATTTCGCGGAGCTTTAAGGCATAGCTGTGGGGATGTTTCTACCGGGTGTCCGGTCCACAAGTAGTAGGGGTGAATCCGGTTAAGGAGCGAACCATGCCTCGGTAAGCTACGGGACGGGGGTAGGTTTATCGCAGGGGGTTTAGTAAGTCAAACCCTAGCAACTGCGATTTCCAGACCATAGTTACTTAGTAAAGAAGTCGGCAGAGGCCAGAACAGCAACAACAGTGTATTGTGTACATAGAGGAAAGGAAAATAGATGGAAATAAATTTGACTTGGAGAGTATAAAACCGGCCAGCAGAGCCAGTCGAGTTCAAATGCTGGTTTGACAGCAGCCAGCCCAGTAGACAAAGAGATAGAGCGTTTATTGGCTGGGTCGGCCTGGAAGGTTTTTGACCAGACAGACAGAGAGAGCAATTCACGCTTACAGGCTTGCTATCCGTCGCCTCGCTAAGGACCAGCTATGAGCTATCTGTGATTGACTGTTTGCAGACATCTGAAACCGCATCGGTGGGCCTTTGGGAAAGTGTACTTTGATGCGAGCTAGTTACAACAGGTTCACGTCCCAGTCGTGTTCTTGGCCGTCCCGGAAAAACGCGAGGAAGAGGTTGTGGATGGTGGTGTTTGTCTTTTCTACCAGTCCCGCGAGGATCGCGAGGATCTCACATACGCCATGGAGAAACTGGGACTCGATTTTTAAGCCGCAGTCGGAATGGAAGCTTGACCAAACGGTTGACCCAATTGCCACTAATGGCGTTCGCGACCGATGCCGCGTCCTGGCGTTGGAGGGGGACAGCCTCAACGCATTTTGTAAAGTAGTATATCAGGAGGATGCATTCCCAACCACGTACCGATATCGGCAGGAAACCGAGGTTGTCTATGTCGACGCGTTCACCAGAGAAGCTGGCGGTCATCAGTTCCATTGATGGTCGAGGGATGGGGTGGGTGGTTTAAACAAGGCGCAGGTTGGACACGACTGAAAAGAGTGGTGGATTTTGGGGCGGAGCTGCGGCCACCAGAAGCGCGCACGATTCGACAACTCTCTGTCTATTTCCACGTGGAGGTCGTCAGGGACGGGCTCGTAATGGAATAAATTTACTCAATTTACTTCAACAACAATGGATCAATCAAAGTAAAACAATTTTCTGTCTCATATTACAGTCCGTAATATATGAAGTATCAGTTGAATGAGACATTTATACTAAGGACGATTCGGCTAGCGCAGAAACCAGTGAGGGACCAGTTGTCCAAAGAGACAAAAAACTAAGGTGGTGACGCACAATATTCTGACTAACGAAACCAAAGTTAACGAAAAACCTTGAGAAACAGACCTAACAGCCTGATGACGGGGATCGCACGTTAACAGTGAAAAACGCAACCAGAAATTTTGACAGTGCAAAATTGAAGTGCTTGTAGTTAAACTCCCAAAACATTTTACCAAAAGTTGATTATGCAAAATTTGCCTCACTAAGCTGTCTGCGAATGTGTTAGCGATAGCCGAAACGTAGCTGTCCGTTGGTATTTGAGATAGCGATATAGCATTCCCTGAATACCATATATACAAACTATACATACCGAAGAGACGATGTGAATGATGTCTTGATAATTCCCAATATGTCAACCAAGTTTGCATGCAGCACGGAAGTTATTTGAGTGACCATCAAGGCTACTGAATCCCGTGTCTCGATGTCTTCGCTATTTACCTGCTACCTAGGACAGACAAACTCGCCGACACCCATGTTTTGGGACATATTCTTTAGCTGACCTTAAGTGATGATTATGGGTGACTTCAAAACACCAGGAATTAATTAAAGCATTGTTCAATGTCCATTCCCAAAGCGATTTTGACTCTCGCTTTCTGTAGAAAACAATAAAGACCCTCTTCCTGCAGCATGTCCTGTCTACAATCAGAACACATAAAGGGCAAAGAACTAACTACCTTGACCTGGATTTCACGAAAATATCAGAGAGCATCGATGAGGTCGTTTTCACGTCCCTGCTCGGCCGAGGTGACCACGAAGTGCTTATGGGGACTATTTTTTATTCTCCTTTTCGCCTTCTGTAGACAAAAATGGAGTAATATTTTTTGAGAGGGTTTGAATCAGATGCGAGCAGATTTCGTCGACATTTAATGGGGTTCAATATTTGCGAGGAAGATGAAGGGGGATTGTGAGTTGTTAAGGAATGTTCGTTTGTGGGTCATCTAAAATACTGCCTATTTTCGAGTTTCCATAACAACAGGTGAACTGTGGGGGTAAATTGCAACCTAAATGGGACAGTTAAAGGTGTATTTATTATAAGTTGTGAAGAAAAGGCTAAATCTGATGGTAAGTCGAGTATTTAAAAAAATGTAAAACACATAATAACAAATTACGAAATATGATCCTTAAAACACGTCGGGAATAACAACGCTGAATCTAAAATTATTTTACAACTACCTTCGCAACAGTACAGGGAATATTCATTTAATCCAAAATTCCTTAAGTTGAGATTACTGAAGACAGGGATAAAGCCGAGTTGTTTTCCCAGTTTTTCGGAGCAGTCTTTACAAACGACACAAATTCCTTCTTCGCTGCACAGATGATCTGTCGACCCCAAGCGTTAGCCATATCCTGTTTCCAGCATTCCATAGCGGAAGAGAATTATAAGAACGTGTCGCCAGTGTGATTGTCAACAACAGCAGGCACCTAAGTCAGAAGGCAGGGAAGATTGATGGGGGTGGACAGTTTTTACTCTGAGAAAGAGCTTACAAATGGCTCTGCAAGAACAGGGTTGCTATCAGCCATCTGTTGTTGTGTGTGCCTGTGTCCACCATTTACAGGATTCCGGGACATGTTCTGCAGCCAATCAGGAAATGGTGCACACTGACTGGTTTCCTGCCTTCGGGAAGATAGTAAAGAACTAGCGCGCCTGTAATCCAACACTGCGCCATAGGCGGACAGCGTGCGCGGCAATCTTAGCGGACGGAACCAGGATGCACAGGCCACATTGTCATATGCGAATGCATGGATTGGCATGCAAAGAAAATGCAAGTCAGTGAGAAAGACGATTTAGTATATATAAGGGAGATAGGCAGAGCCTTTGAAAACCCTATTTACAGAGAGATGCCGTCAGATCATGCATGTATTTCAAAGCCATATATACATTATATAAATCATTGTTGTCTACCAAATGTATGACCAGCAAGTAAAGTAAGATCGAGTCTTCTTTTAAATACGTCAACGCTTTCAGCAAGAACAACTGAAGAAGGAAGTTTATTCCAGTCCTCAATGACCCTGTGGGAGAAGAAGTTGGTCCGCATTTCTAGTTTTGCATGGTGCTTCTTCAGTTTGTGTGCAACTCCAAAGAAATCAGCCATATGAAGAGCATAGTCTACTTCCCTGTCGAGTTTGTCTATAATAGAGAGGAAAAGATTGAGCCTATCTAGTCGACTTTCATACGGCAGACCTCCTAAGCTGCTGACTAGATTGGTCGCCCTTCTTTGGACTTTCTGCAGTACCGCTTAATCTTTCTTCATCCAGGGCACCACGCGTGGACGCAATACTCTTACATCGGCCGAACAAATGTTCCGATGACTCACCCAAAACGTTCCTCTTCAAAGCAAAGGAAGGACCTTCTGATGGCTCCTAGGATGCTCATAGCCTTCTTTGCAATTTTTGGCACAGTCTGTTGACGGTTTGAGATTGGGCGTCATGCATACACCTAGATCCCGTAGTTCGTTCACTTGCCCGGGTTGGTGACCCCCGATCAAGTAGTCATACTCAAATAATTCCATCTTTCTGCGACTAGACCGTAGGCGGATGACTTGATATTTGTTGAAATCGAGCTTCAGTAGCCACGTTCCACACACTTTTGCAAGCGAACCAAGTTATTTTGTAAGCTCTGTCCATCCTCCAAC